CCTATACTTAAAATTTAGCAATACTGGCACATAAATCGAAAACCATTTTAAATTACAGAAAGCATCATTTTTATTGTTCGTATGGATTTTTTTTTACATTTTAAGCTACTATGTACATACTTAAATAGTTACGTGTATATTTAATTTTGTGCGTAATATTTATGTTTATAAGGTTTAATGCATTAAAACTAAAACTAGGTATATGCAATTAGCACAGTGTTAATTACAAAATTAATACTTAATTAGGCAATCATGCTTGAAGTGCTTACATTTGTTGGCAGGTGATTACAAGTAACGCCATTAGTTACAGTCTAGCTACGCACATACATAAGTACATTTCGCTGCAGGTGTATCCTTTATCAAAGAAACCAAATGGCATATGTATTTGACATAAAACAAAAAACTCACTACAATACTTGGCATTTCTACATAAATATACCTAAGTAGATATGTATATACTACATAGGTATATATCTACGTACTTAAATTTCTGCGGTTATTACACTTTTTTGTGCACGCTGCAGTTATTGGTGACCTCATTTTTGGTTTGAGTTAATTAATTGTACAATTTCTCATTCCAAGTATTTTGAAAACTCATTTTGACAGCTGGTTTTTCTTGTAAATTGCGCACATTTAATGCAGTTCAAGGTAATTACATACATTTCAAATACCTAATTGTTTAGTTTTAATTAATTTTATTACTTTGTAACATCAATATATGGAAAAAAATGCGAAAATCCGTCAGCAAAAAAAAAAAAATATTAAAAATCAACGCGATTTTTTATACGCTTGCAACTTGCACTTTATGAGACTAAAATTGTATGGGCTCTAAAACTACAATACACAAAACTGTTGTAGAGATTCAGATTAAAAAGCTCGAAATTTTGATGAAAATTTTATGCCTTTTCCTACATTTACATTTGTATGAAGTCTGAAACTTTCATTTCTATGGTTTTGGCTTAAGCTTGGAAAATATTTTTATAGAAAAATAACAAAAAGAAAAAATAAACTTGAAAATCGTTTGTGTAATACGTAAATAAAAAAATGTTTAATGCCCTTTTACTCGATTTTAAAATGTAAAAGTAAATGGCCGATATGTGGTCACAATGAGTAACTAGTGAAAAATATATTGCATTGTTTTTAAAAATATTCACATTTCAGTTGGTTTCGAAAAAGTAGTTTGAGTATATTCATATTTTCTTAGTATTCTTGTTTCAGGAAAACTGTACTTTATGATTATTTTATATTTCAACTTTATTATTATTTATTTCAATTTTAATTTTTCTTCGTACATGAGTCATCGTTTTCTTTGTTCTGATAAACTCTGATAATACCATTTTTTAATCATATATCTGAATATCCGGATATTCATTAAATCCGGACAGAATATGATCTGATTTTATTTTACGAAAACATTGTTGCTCAAGATTATATGAAACGCAATTCGAATTCGTTGAACGATGCTACATATATAGATACAAACTATGTGCGTAATAAATTCCTTAAAACTTGTATGTATGTATATCTAATATTATATAAACTTTAACAAGTTTAATGTTTTTAAAAGCATCAACTGAATTTGTTTATTGGACAACTTGTCAAAGCACATATTTATCTTTGTGTATAGACATTTACGAGCTTTTATTTACAATCATGTATTTGTTGCTCCGTGCTAAACTTTATTTTTGTTGTAGAAATATTTGGAATGTCAACCAGCTGCCTTTTGCCTACTTCTAATATTAAATGTAAATTGCAATATTATAATTAACATTATTCTAATTTTTTTTGTTTATAAATACGTACAAATATGTAAACGCGTAAATACTTACATAATTGCAAATAGAATTTAAATGTGTAATTTTCAGCAGCACATACTACGATAAATTCATGTGTAACTATACATTTTTTATTTTACCTTTTCTGTTTAATAATAGCAGCAACCCTACCAATAACCTCAAATTGCTAATTAATGGTCTAGATAAGGTAAATAAATTTTAATATTTAAATTTGATATTGTTATGTACATAAAAGGTAAATGGACATATTTAAGCGTACGAGCATGGCTTTTATAAAAGTTTGTGCAGATGAAATAGTTGTATGTTTTATTTGTCAATATTTAGCGCAATTGTTATACGAGTATGCATATGTAAGTATGTTCATTAGAGTGGTCATAGCGAACCAAACTTCGAAATCCACTATTTTGCGTGTTGAAAAATACGGGGTTGGGAATGAAAAGACGCATGAAGCTTTTTGGAATAAGATCCAGTGATTTCGAGTGGTTCCCTGTGCTCTTTGCCTTCTATCAAGGAAAATTACAAGGTCGACCATAGTTTTCGGAATTTTTAAATTAAAATAAAATATATATTTTCCTTTTTAAAACAACAGAATCTAAGAATTAAAAGTAAATAAAATGATAAAAACAAATTAAATTAAGAAATAGAAAAAAATAAATCACACAAGTTTTTAAAAATTAAATGAAACCGAAAAAAATTATATTTTAAACAATAAAATTGAAAACCGAAAGAACAATTAAACTAAAAAAAAAAAATAATAATAAATAAGCTCCTAAAATAAGTGAATAAAAAAATATTCTTTTTTTTAAAAGAAAAAGAAACTACCAAAAATTATAATAGAAAGAAAGAAATAGAATTAAAAAAGAATAAAGTTTCCTTAAATTAAACTAAGCTAAAATTGTCAGTACTGGCAACTATCTGGAAAGCACTTTACTGTCTTTCGAAAGACTAATTGCAAGATTTGCTAACGTGGAGGTCTTAGCGTTATGCTCTTCGTCTCTTAGGAAACACTTTTCATTTTAATTAAATTAAATTAAAACAAACATATATATTTTTCGTTCTAAAACAATAAAAACTTAAATTAAATTAGAAAAGGAAAAAAATATAATCAAAAAGAAGGAAATAGTAACTTTAGAGTAAAAATAGTTCTATTAACAAAAAAAAAAGAAAAACCAATTAAAAATTTTAGTAAGGTCTTAAAAATAAGATGAAATAAAAAATAACAATTTTCTTTTTAAAACAATAAAATGTAAAAATTAAAAGAAAATGAAACTAACAAAGGAATAAAAATTAAATTAAAAAAGAAAAAATAAATAAAATAGATTTCTGAAAAGTAAGTGAATTTAAAAAATATATATATATTTTTACAAGGTAAAATCTAAAAACTGAAAAGAAACACTAAACAAATATTTATAAATCAAAAAAAATAAGTTCCTTTAAATTGAATTAAATAAAAAAGTATCCTTGTTAAAACAATAGATAGATTATTAAAGAAAATTAAGATAATAAAAAAAAAATTAATTAAAAAAGAAAAAAACCGCTAACATATGTTTGTAATAATTGAATTAAGTTTCAATAAAATATATATGTATTTATTTTTTAAAAATATAAAATCTAAAAAATTGAATCATAAAAAAGAGTAAAGAAAAAAAGTTAAAGAACTGTATAAAATAACAAATTTTCTATTTATAAAGCAATTTAAGTCTTCTCTATTTTTTATGAAATTTGGTGTAAGACTTCGCCAAAATATTTCGGAAAAAGCATTAAGCTGGGTCAGTTTAAAAATACTTCCAAGAATCCAGTATTTCATAAATAAAACTGGTTTTTATAATATTTCTTTCCAAAAAATCACCGCTGATGCAATAAGTTTTTAAGCTCCTGCGTAAAAAAATAAATATAAATTTTATCAACGGAAATAAAAATTCAGATTTTTTAAGGTATTTTCAAATCAGCAGCGAAATATTGTATGAAAAGTCTCTGACATCACAAATTTTATAAATCCGGTGAAAAATAGCAACTTCTTTTGAAAAGCCACCCCAATGTACATATCTACACACATGAAAATAAATATATTTATAAAAGTATTCGCAAACTACTAGCATCACATACAATTTTTTATTTTTTTTTCAGTATATTGCCACTTTGCTTTTAATTATTTTTACCTAAAATTGCTCAGCTCCATTAATTTGAGCGATATTTGCTGTCATTGTTTCACAAAGTTTTTTTTTTTTTTTGTGTACTTAAACTAATTTCGGCTGGAATATAATTAGTTGGTTTCCATTAATAAATTTTGTTTATTCTATTTTAATTACGTTAAATTAAGCAATTTTCATGTACGTGAAAACAAAAACGCGTTTAGATTATAGTAAGTCGTGCGGCTAGTGTGACACAAAGAAATATTAGCGGCCTAAAAACAAATAAAGCTACTGTACGTTAAGTGGAATTCCAGATTTTCAAAGTGTCCCCTTTAAATCGCCGGAAATGAAAAAAATTTTACCAAATTTGCTTCAGGAAGCTTCGTTGGAAGTTCTTTCGAAACTTGTAGCAATTTTTAGAAAGTGCTTAATACTGAATCACCCGCCAATCCAAAGGAAAATTAATGATTTATTTAGTCAGACATTTTGGAAGTGTGCTCCAAATGGAAAGAGGGCTCTATTTCGTATGAGGCTATGGCGAACTATAACTGAATTTCTATTCTGTGCTTACCAAAGTTTCTTTCCTTTTTCTAAAGCAGAAATTGGTGGGTTTTCGCTTATAGATACTCGTACCATAAAATATTGCATTACACACTGCCCTCACTTGTAGCCATACCTTCGTTAGTATAGAAAATCCTACTGAAGATATTTCTATATATAAATTTCATACATATACAAGTATCTGTAGATATGTAAATAAACGATTTCGCCTTCGCTTCTTAATTTTAATGTGCAAAGTTTGCCTTCGCCAATTTACCGCTCGCTTGCCGATGGCTTTATGTTTGCAAGCCCATAAACAACATAACTACCTTAATACATATATATGTACATACATTGGCACTCCGAAAGCGCCGGCGACATACCATTCATTGCACGTGTACTTGGCAATATTGACCGTTGCTGTGATGAGAGATTTAAAGAGCTTGCATATACATACATACATACGTTTTGTTTTTATGTAATTCTCTAACAAACTTTTGCTAAACTTCTGCAAACTTGTTGGCCGCACACTTATCGTTGTCAACGGCACAATTCAGCTGCGCGCTGCACCATTCATCCATCCATTGTTTACCTTTTTACCTGTATAAAGTGTGATTGTTATTGTTTGTTTTTTGTTCTTATTGTTGCTGTTGTTGATCAAGTGCTTTACTCTCCGCCTGCAGTGATTGTGCTTGTTGGTAGCGCATTTCATTGTTGTATTGTTGTTCTTATAGCTGTGTTGGTCGCCCACTGCCATTAGTCCTAGGGATAGATTTCATAGCTTTACTTGTTGGTTGGTTGAAAGTCAACAAAATTTGTAACAATAACTTTTGTAAAAACAATAACAATTTTGCATAAATAAAATGAGCAAACAGACATCGTCCTTCACTCAGTTGTGTTGGGCTACAATCGTACTTGCAATCACATTCACACATTCATACAAACAAAAACTGTGCACATCTGTCCAATCGTCAAGTTGTCAAGCCGTCTGTTGTTGGCTTTTATTTCTGCATTTTCTCTAGCGGATCTGCACTACCACATGCCGGCTCACTCACTGTCAGATAAGTTATGTTTAAATAATCTTAAAATATTAGTTACTAAATTTAAGTGGTTGACAGGCCACTTCGCTTCTGCTAGAAATGTAAAAGTTAAAAATAAAGTAGACTCTAACTGCTTTATAAATTGAAAATGTTTATGAATTTATTATTCCCCAATAGATTATTACTGCAGGAACAGCCAAAAACTAAAAGCTTCAAGTACAAAATTTTTTTTTAGCTACCAATAATATTACTGGAAAAAGGGAGAACAGACTTCGCGGTTATTTTTGCCGATGAAGTCTATGTCACCGGCAAAACGGCCAGCATCTGACCATAGTCTGCATACGAGTTGGATCATGCACCTTGTCAGCTCCTCGCCCCCGTACTTATGTAAATAGCTCAGTTGGTAGGCTGTCAGCTCCAGCAGCTTTGTTGTTTTTCAGTCGCGTAATTGCTATTCGTAGCGGATTATAGCCAGGCGGTGGTACATCGAGTCCGTCATCATGGACCGAGGGCTCGGGTTCATCTTTTCCAAAGCTGCCAGTACTTCAACCATTTAGTAGCGTGGAAAAGTATTCCCTCCATAATTTAAGTGCGATCTGGACATCAGTCACTAGGTCGCCAATGTTGTTCTTACAAGAGTGCGCCCTGGTGTTGAAAACTTCCGTAAGTCGCCTAACTCTCTGGTAAAATTTTCAGGCATGTTTCATGTCGGCCAATATTTAGAGCTCTTCGTACTCACGTATTTCGGCCTCTTTCTTCTCATTGCGGCAAATACGTCTCATTTGCCTCTTCAGTTCCTTATAGCAGTCCCACATACTCGACGACCCCACCTAGGTATGGCAGATTAATCAAATAAATAGCCTTAATCGATTAATTATTTTCAGGAAACGATTAAATCGAATCGAGTTTTTTGTTCTGATTAATCGAATCGCTAATCGATTAATCCCAAAAATTAATAATTATAAGAAATTTAAGCATGGTTCTCAGTCAGCATTTTCTTCACATCAGAATTCGTATAACATCTCGCTTCAAAGTTATACCAAAATGGCAACTCAGCTTGTGATATCGAAGGTGTCATTGCCAAAATCCTCACCGAAGTCTGGTTATTGAATCCTGAGGAATCATACTATCTGCACTTTGAGCCTCTAAAGAGATTATGTAGCATATATTATGGCATATGTAGTCCCCACAGTGCTGGAAAAAAAACTATTTGTACCTTGATACTGTGATTCTCATATTATTCTCTTTCTTGGGAGGGAAGGAACCACGTGACCGTGAGAGAACCTCAATTATATTATTCTCTTTCTTGGGAGGGAAGGAACCACGTGACCGTGAGAGAACCCGAATTAGCTGTGGTATCTATACCACTGGTGTATTATTTGAAGCAAGCCCTCTTCGAAGAACGAATTATCAGAAGTTGTATTTTCCAATAGTTGGTTAGTTAGTTAGTTAGTAGGGAAACTAACCTTCACAGTGGTTGGTCTTGTGGAATACTGTGACAGCCGTAGTGTTGGTTTCATATTGTGCTGCGATCGTAATGTCAGAAATAAAATCTGGTTCAGCAATTGTTTTAGAATATTTCTGTCAGAATCTTCTGGCGCCGAGCTCGAAAGTGAATACAAATACGAGGATGAATATGAATATGAAGACAATTACAAACACGAAAACGAAGATGAAGACGAAGACTAACACAAAGGCGGAAGCCAAAAGGAAAGTGAAAGTGTTTACCAAGGACAAAGCAGGACAAGAATACGAGGGCCAACACGAACATAAAGTCGAATGCGAAGACGAAATCGTAGATAAATACGAAAACGAATACGAATACGAAGATGAAAAGAATACAAAGACAAATATAAGAAACAGAACGAATTAGGTTGGGTTAAATAGGTTAGGAACCAGAAATGAGAACTAAATCCGAAGCCGTATGCTAGTATTAGTGTGGAAAAAAAATACGAAAACTAACGTGGAGTTGAATACAATGGCGAAAATGAGTATGAACACGAATACGACTATATTTGAAGAAGAATTCGCAAACGAATACAAAGTCGATAACAGAGACGAATACGAACATGGAAACAAAACGGTAGACGACTACCAAAACGAATAGGAGACCGAATACAAATACGAATTTGGATACCTAGTCTAAGGTCCTTGAGACTCTATTAAGATTAATACGAAATTTTGCAAAGTGAAGCTTACTAGAAATGAAGCTAAAGGTCGAAAAAGGATTGCATAAATGATATATCTAAACTATTTTGTAATAACTCAAAAAAATCAAGCGCAAGAAAAATGGCTTTAAACATTTGAATTCACTCCCATAGTCGAACTGAACACATATTTTGTTCTAGTTTGTAATCGATACTTCTATGAAATTTTTACACAACACCGAAGAAGAAGTAGCAGTAATATTTGCATACTCAACTCAATAATTCGTCGTTTTTGGATTATGACACATTTGAAGTAATATACCCATTATCAGGCCACTTGCATTTTATTTTTTCTCTGCAAGTTAATTGAGTTTTGGTTTTCCAGAAACTGCAAGAGTTGAATAAAATTTTACACTCCCCTAGCTATTTGGTCTATTGCGCACAGCTCTCTGCGTTCATAGTTTTTATTTGTTGATTTTATGCAAAATTCTCAAGTAATTTGCAAACATTCGACCGCAATGCTTTTCTACTTTCTACTCTTACGACAGCATTTGCGGTTTAACAAAATTAAAAGTAGGCATTATTCGTAGCCAACAAAACCAGTAGAGTCCAATAACAATAATAATAATCATGGCCCACTATAAATACTTATAAGCAGAGCATGAATTTGTAGCAAGGTTGCAAAAATTACATATAAACATATTTAGTTGCAAAAATATGTATATTTAGTACTTATTCAAACAGACCAAGAGCATTTAATTTTCATGATGGATTTTGTGTTTATCTACGTTTGTATATGGTTATACGAAGCAGAAATTTCAATTTAGTTTGCATTTCTTTACTTTGCTTTCACTTGCAACAATCAAGTGGTTTGATGATTTAGTATTTAAACTAAAAGAAATATTTTGTGCGCAATAGCAACCGCAGGTGGATTTAAAAATAAACCAAATCTGCCGTTAGAAAGAAAATAAAAACACAGAAGAAATTATGCTGCGAGTGATAAGAAAATTTTTCCAAATGCCACCACGTATTTTTTTTCTTTAAAGTCGTATTTGACCTGGATTTTTGTGCTGATTAAAGCAAACATTTTTTCTTCAAATTGCATGAATTTTAGCAAAGCAATTATTTCTGCTTTAGTCTGCATAAGGTATGTAAAAATTTGTGTACTTTCTGTACTTAAGAAAAAGCCTTTTCTTTTGCTTGCCTTGTTTAATTTTACTGCGGCTGACAGCGGTCCACCCATTTGCCCGCCCGTACACAACTCAGAAGGATAAATAAACTCAAATGTTTGCCGAGATTAAGGTATACTATACTTGCCACAAGCAATATTATACATATTATTGTAAATATTGCCACAATAATTTATTAAACAATGTGGGTTTGGTGATTTCTTAAAGGTTTAACATAAGTTGCATTTTTGTCAAAGTGTTAAGGAGCTCTCAAGTATAAGTGGTGGTAGTGCAAGTGTGTGCTTTGCTGGCTGAAGAGGGTAAATTGGAAACAAATAAATTAATTAAATGACTAATTGAGTTGAAAGTTTCAAAGGAGTAAAACACATTCAGGGCAGGCAAATGAGATGGGCCTTTCATGGCTTTAGTAATAACTTTGCTAATGATGAGAAGGGTTTCGCATAACAAAAAGTATGCTGAGACTTTAATTAGGATAATATTTTGAAAGGATGGTCCATATACACCCATTTTGTTTTTCTGGGCATTTTTCTTCTATTTAATTTACATAACTTTTCAATTAAAGTATATTTTTTCTCTAACAAAAACCATATTAACGCAAGCTACAAACTTTGCGTAAAATAAAATATAAATTATAAAATTTCTATCGAAATTTTAGTATAGCAAAGTGTCGATTTGAAGTAGCTACAAATTACCACTGATTTTTTTTAAATTTTTTTACCGATTCTCCTCCGCAATTTTCTCCATATAAAACAAGCGACCATGCGTTGTACCAAAGGAATTGTAGAAGAGCATTGGTAAAACAAAAATGACAAAAATCAACGGAAGAAACTATCTACAATAAAATCCTGGAATTTTAAAGACAATTTTATTAATTTTTTTAAATTTTCTATAAAGTTTGAAACTTTAGTTTGGATGGTTTTTGTTAGGGGAAGAACCAGGGGCGCACCCAGGAATATATATTTTTATGGAAATATTTTTAAGAAAATACTGCTTCAGATAATATGCTTTTTAAAATATACGTATGCAAGTTTTATGTACACTAGGTATGTAATAAAAAAAAATTATAAGTTTCATAAATCGCATTTTATTTACATAAAATTAACAAATAACTCTTTTAACTAATTTCAAAAAAAGGGAGGTTATCAATTCTTCGGAGTACTTTTTCTTCTTTTATGTATGTCACCGCATAACTTTGGACCGCGTGAACCGATTTCAATAATTTTTTTTTATCGCAAAGAAGGTATCTTAAGGATCGTCCCGTATTCCTAAATTTGTATATATATGCGAATTGAAGTCGGTTGGGTTTTTTGTTTAAAAATTACTTGTTTAATAAAAAATTCTACAAACACAAGATGCGCTAAGTTTCAAAAGTGAAAGTATTATTT